TTCTAAGAAGTTGTTTAAACTTAAAAATCATCAAAATAAGTTTAATTTTTTTCCATAAATTGCAAAGATGACTTTGATCAGCTGTTTTTCTTGCTGACAAATTGCTGCTGGCAAATAAAATTTTCCAGCAAACTAGCAACCTCTCATCAAAATGAAATGTCAGTTTGTGTACGCGAAAAGTTTTTGATACGCGAATGCACCTTATATTTTGTGAATTTTGTTAAGATTTGAAACTTTTATTTATGTGGTTTTTGTTATAGATCAAATTATATTTTAAATGAAAATTACAAATAATTTTTATTTCAGCTTAAAATTGTGCATATCGCACGTTTAAAAAAATAAGAGAATTAATTCAAAATTTACCATTTGGAGATTTCATCCATCAATAGGCTTCTTAAGAATATGTTCAGTCTAACAGATAACTACACTTACCAAAACTAGCGAAGATATGTGTGCACATATATATATTTATATTTGATTTTTTTGCTTATCAAACTATATGAACTGGTCAAAATACCCACAAAATTTTAATTTTAAATTAATTCTTTCTTCTAAAATAAGTTTTTAAATTGAACTACATCCCCAATATAATTCAATATATTCAGGCAGGTTCCGCAATTCACTTCCGAGTGAATATCAATCAACTCCGCTTCGAATTCAAATTGGCAGGGGTTGAAAGGAAAGGAAGTGAGTTACAGAACTTACCCGATTGCTATTATTACATGCTTACCGTCAGATCCTGACGTATGGATTTGAGCTGATCGCAAGCGTAGTAGTAATCCTGATTGTCTCTCCACTTCTCTTTGACATTTTGTAACGAGTGCGTTAACACCTCAATGGGCCGCACTTCCGTTGGTAATGGTGCCTTAGTCAATCGCAGGAAAGACTTTTCCAAAAGCCTGCATGTGCCTACAATATGCAAATCTAATAAATCTAACCCTGTTTCAAAACCGCCGGACGTATCCGTATCCATAAACATGCGCCCGCCCAAACTACCCCCGTATTTTTTCTGTTTTAATTGTTTCGCATGACCGAATGGAGAGCTAGCTACCGCGACAACCGATTTTTTCGTTGAAGAACCCTGCGAGAAACGCGCTGCACGTTGCTGCAATCGTGCCGTGTCGTCATCTACCGCGCCGCCTACAGATGACGAATAAAAGGGGGCTTTGGATTTCGTATTTGCTGAACTGCTGGCGCCCTTAGCATTCTTCCCCTTTTTAGAGCTATTACCTTTTTGTTGCTTTTTACCGGAGGAATTAAATGCTATAAAATTTTCATTCGACCGACGATCAGATGAATCCGAACTGGTACTGCGACGTATCTTACGACGAGGACTTGATGACGAACCGCGAGATCGCGACCGAGATCGTGTACTGCGTTTATGATATTTATTTGGTTGTGGGGACCTGAAATTAAAATATGATGGAAAGATCTCCAAAGGAATAAAAAATTTAAATTCTTACCGCGAACGACTTCTGGAATTTCTTGAAGCCTTTTGTACGTTTCCGAATGAATTACGTTGACCTAAGCGTGCATTTAAACTACGAGATATACCCTTATTATTTTTTTGTTGTGAATTTTGGTGATTAATTTGATTTTGTTGTTGCTTGTATTTCTGCGCGTTTGGTGTATGCTGTTGCGGTTGCTGTTGTTTTTGTTGCTGATTATACAACTGCATTTGTATATTATTTCGCTCACTGTGTACACTAGGTATAGGCTCATTATCCCAATCACGTGTCCAAAGCTCATTGCGATTCGCAGCTGCCATTATTTTTCCTTTCAAGCAAATATCAATTTGATCCTTATCCAAATCAGTAGCGCACTTGGCGTAACAACGGGCCACATAATTATTTAGTGACTCTGGCCAGGCATCATTTGGATTATTAAACATATTTATTTTCTTGATTGGCGTCTCTACAGAAGCTGTTTGTTCATTTAATTTACTATTGTCCGATGGTTTTTGCTCTTCCACTACACTAGCGCCATTCATACTGCTATATGGCATAATCGGTGGTGGTGGTTTGGATAAGTCTGCCGTTATCGATGGCGCGATTATAGGCGGTGGAAGCGAAGTGTTAATAAAACTACCATTCATTTGTTGACTTGTATTTAAGCTTTCAAAATGAGCATCGAAAGCAGCCTGCTGCTGTTGTTGTAGTGGACTTTGCTTCTTATTCCTTTTACGTTTCTTTTTGCTATTATTATTTGCATTACTCATACTAACACCATTAACGGGATTGTTATTGACGTTATTATTTTGAAAAGATGGCGTATTCAGAACAGTTGGTGAATTCTGCAATGGATTTGGCGCATTCGCCAATCGCTTTTGCTGACTTAAGTTAAATCTGATCCCGCCGAAACTTTTTTGATTACCTTGAATTTGATTGCTGCTGCCACTTGGGGTCATTGGTGGAGGTGGCGGTGGCCCAGAGGGTAATGGGGGCAAGTTCTTATCCGATGGTATAACAGAGTTGCTAAATCCAGGCGGAGCATTATTGCTTTGATGTTGTTGCGGTTGATGTTGCATTCCATAGCGCATATAATATTGATAGTACTGGCTATACTGTTGCTGGTATTGATTGGCATACCAGGGATTTGAATACCATTGTTGAGCGGCGGAGGCGGCGGCGGCACTAGGGCCACTATGTTGTTGCTGCTGCTGCATCTCTTGCAGTTGTGGAATTAGGGGCGCGGCTAAGGCTTCGGACATATTTCAGACGCAAATAACTTGGCGAGTTCCTTTGATGGGACAGCCGTGGGCGAACGTCCCTTTATGAAATTATCACCTCAAGACCGCTACGCTTTACAAAACTTACCTTTTCTAATAAAATTGTATTTGAATAAAATTTGTTTACTGAAAATAGCAAAAAAAAAATTATTTTATTCCCATTCCCCCAAATAAAAATCGAAGGTAAAAATTTTCTATGCCGTCCGCCATTTTGTACATACCCGAATGCAGGCGAGGCCAAGACAAGGCTTTCCTTATGAAATGATTTTTAGCACAATACCTAGATTTGCTCACAGAAATAATATTACCATATAATTGTCTCTTTATTAGCAAGAAATTTTAATAACTATTCTGTCTGAGCACATATTAATTACATTAAAAAATAATTATTTTTCTCCACGAGATGGCAAAGAATAAACTCAGTTTCCAAATGAATGACGAAACAATGCCACTGAACCGTAACTATTAGCCGAAGATACTTCGTGCCGGTGAAGTTAGCTGTAATGAAATATGCATTTAAACGACGTTGCCACAGTTCAGAATTACTGAGCATTTACAAACTAACGGCGCGTTTACACCGGACAATATTGTCAAGACAACTATGTCAAAACATTTAAGGCGCTGTTACAAAGAACGCAAATATATAAGAGGCAATACGTTATAATTGCAACGCGTGGAAACATCAGGAGCATGCTTTTTTTTGCCCAAATACGTTTTGAAATTGGATAATAAGAGAAGGCACGCTCCTGATGTTCACACTCGCTACAATTATAACCTGTTGTCTCCTTTTATAGATTTACGTTATTTGGTTATGTTTTTTATTCAGTTGACAATAAAATACACCACACAATAATAATTTTTAACCAAATTAACCTAATACCCAGGCAAGCGTGAACAACATCACTTTTTTCGGCTGTGACCAGAGTTGCCACTTTTTTATAATTTTGGTAGATTTTTGTTAAATTATTTTGTTTAAAAACAAAATGAAAAATTTTCGTTGCCGCCTTATTTTTCTAATAGCTATCTTTATATTGAGGCGTATGCTAGTTTTCGTACGAATCGAAAATTTGAAATTTTTGAAGTGAAACTTCTTAATCGAGTTCGGAGATGGTTGCGTTATATATTTAACACCACGTCATAAAATCCGTATCGTTCGTTCGATTTTTAAAAATGAGGTGTCACATGAAAGGCCTTGTCCTTCTGGTTTACAACATAGCTTTAGTTTCATGAAAGGAGTTGCCACATGTTAGAAAATCGAATTCAATATTTCTCTGCCGCAGAGGGTTGCGTAAAATATTTAACACCACGTCATAAAATCCGTATCGTTCATTCGATTTTTAAAAATGAGGTGTCACATGAAAGGCCTTGTCCTTCTGGTTTACAACATAGCTTTAGTTCTATGAAAGGAGTTGCCACATGTTAGAAAATCGAATTCAAAATTTCTCTGCCGCAGAGGGTTGCGTAAAATATTAACATCAAGTCATAAAATCTGTATCGTTCGTACGATTTTCAAAAAAGAGGCGTCACTGAAAGGGCTTGACCTGCAGATGTGCAGTATGGTTTTAGTCTTTTAAAGGGTTGCCATATATACGAAAATCAAATTCAAATTATTTATTAAGTTAAACGAATTATCCCAATATGGGTATCAAAAGAAATGGTTTTGAATAAGTTGTATTTTCTAGCTAAATGTAGGAGGGTTGCCACCTGTTTCAAAAGTAAAATTTAGTTAAATTGTACAAGTCTTACGCGTAAATAAATAAATAATAAATAAATAAAATACTATACAGTACAGAAAGAGCTTACAGAAACATAATTAAAATATTTTTGAGGTGCCTGAAGAGGGTGGCCACCTGTTTAAAAAGTTAAACTCAAATTATTGAAGCAAATCTTATTATTATAGCTCCGTTATGTTTGCGATAAATATTTAACGCCACGGTACAGGTAGCATATGACGGGTATAGAAAACGAATAGCTGCGTTAAACGCCAATTGGGCGGGAAAAGACTAATGCAAAGACAAGAATATAATCAAAAACAAATATAAAGATAAGATGAAGATGAAGATGAGGATGAAGATGAAGATGAAGATGAAGA